TCCTGCCTTCCCTCCCTTCCTCTCCCCTCCCTTCTCCTTTCATTAATCACGAATCTCATCGTAATTTTCTTGATTTTTTTCATTTTTCCAATGTCTTTCTGCCTTTTTAGCAATTCATCAAATACATTGTCACTCTGTATGGGTCAGTCATGACAGTCGCTGGAATGACATGGTAAGAATTTCTAATGAGTCTGAGTCATATGGCCTGGTATTGGGATGGATGCCTCAAAATCATTCTGTACCTCTATGGTAAAACCTTTCAGGCTCAACATATCAGAGAAAATGCTGTTTACCTTGAGTTGCTGATATGATTATATAAGTAAAGTTAATGTCCGGGATCTTTGGAAAGATCAACTTGCCTGATGAGGACACGATACAATATACCTCATGCAGCATTCACCTTTCATGTAAAGAAACAATGCAATTGATTAGGAAATAATATTCTGATTGAATCTGAGAAATCATTCTAAAGATTTCCATAGCCTTGTGGAGTGAAAAGTTGTATGTATAAGCAATATAAGTTGCACAGTAGTCAGTCTCATGTGAAGCTTCCATAATGTTTAGCTTGTAATTAAACATCATGCCAGCATATTAAGTAGTTTTTTTCTGTTTTGTGTCGACTTGTGTTTGTGAAATTATGAAAAATTACTGAAATTATGAAACAATGTATCAAAGATATTACAAAGAGGCCTATAATGAATTCGATTAAATTACAGTTAGTGTAAGATTTTTTTTTTTTTTTTTTTTTGGGGGGGGGTGGAGTTGATGGTGAATGAAAGGCGACTTTGCTTAATGGTTCATTGGGGGAGGAAAGGTGTGACCCCACGAAGAGGAATGGGAGGGAGGGAGAAACGGGTGCCGAGGGCGGAGGGTGACCTGCTGTGTTCTGCCTCTGCTCCTTCTCCTGGTCTGCCTGACGAGACGTCCTTTTACCCAGCGACTCCTGTCACCTTCCTCCCACCACCTCATTCACTCCTCCCCTCCCTCCCGCCACCTCATTCACCCCCTCCCCTCCTCCCTACCACCTCATTCACACCTTCCCCTCCTCCCTACTACCTTATTCACCCTTCCCCTCCCCTCTCCTCCTTTTCTCCCTAACTCCTCTTCTTCCCCCTCCTCCTCCTCCTCTCCCCTTCCCTTCCCCCATCCCCCCCCTTGGCAACCATCAGCTACAGCGTACTGAAGGAAGAACTTCATTTGCTTGCAGTG